TACATTCAGGGAGCACAGAGGAGATATCCAGGGTTCTCTTTTTCTAAAAAAAGAGACGTCACCAAAAAATCATCACATGTGATTAAAAAAAGAAAAAAGTTAAGCAAAATTATTTTTTTTTTTAAATGGAAGTTACACCCAAGCATATAACCCCCCCTCCCAAATTTTTCAAGGCCCCCCACATATGTAGAAGCACGCGCTGGGGCGCCTACACATGAAAACGTTGATTGCGATACATATGTTACATATCATCGCATATGCCAGAATGAGAGCAATAATTCTAGCACCAGACCTCCTCCGTAACACTAAACTGATGACCTATAAGGAGCTTTAAAAGGGTCTCCTATAAAAAATATAGGATACTAAAGCTTGTTGCCGTTTCACGAGTGCACACAAATTTAAGGTTTGACATGTTGGATATCTATTTATTCAATGCAACCTCGTCTTTTATATTTACAAAAAATGGGATAATTTATTGCTTTGTGTGCCTTAAAATTAACTGAAGTATATATTTTTACTGACATTTTGCATCTCCTAGACCTTTGTAATAATATCATGTGAATATAAATGTAGAAATTCTGAAGGACCCTCTGCACACTGGTATATACCCTTTCAAGCAACATAAAAAAATTTAAACTACTGCTATTTCATTCTCTAGGATCTCTGATTTCAGAAAATATATAATGTTGGGGGTTTTGTGTAATTGTCAGGCCTTAAATAATTTTTTTAATGTGTGGAAAAAACACAAAAACAGCTCTGGCAGTGAAATGGATAAAGGATAAGCCCGACACTCCCCTTTCCTGACGAGCACCCAATCGGTGCTCATTACACTGCAAGGTCTCTCTCCTCCCTGCTAGTCCCTGGGTGCGGTGCTGGAAAGAGGCAGGAGGGGAGGAGGAGATATACAGCGCAATGTTAAAAATAGTAAACATTTAAGTCACCATAAATCCCCTTTTGTTTTTAAAAGACCCAGACAATAGTTAAAGCAGATTTAAATATAGTTTTGGTAAAAATGTATGTTTTTTTTATCAGGACAAGTAGATTGTCATGAGGGATAAGTAGACTGGGGCACCGATTTAGTCCCTGGACAAATAGTTTTTTCAAAAATTTCCACACCCCTGAGGTTTATGATTTCTAAAAATTTGAATGGCATTGTGTTTGCTTATGAGAGCATTTAATGTTTGCACAGTAAAATAACATTTCATCCCTGATCATCTGAAATCATTGTTGTGACTTGGGTTTAAGGTAAGACTAAAGGTTCAGTTTCTTTTTTTATAACAAACATGTCATACCTGCTCTGTGTAATGGCTTTGCACAGAGCAGCCCCCAATGCTCCTCTTCTCGAGTCCCCCACCGGTGCTCCTGGCCCCTCCCCCCTTCTGAGTGCCCCCAGAGCAAGTAGCTTTCTTGCTCATTCCCAAACCCTGCTGCTGTGTCTCAGCCAAAGGAGAGAGAGAGACCTGGGAGAGATGCTGCTCCCATGCACAACACAGCACACAAAAGGAGTTTTTCACCTTCATGCATGTAATGCATGAAGGTCAAAAATCTTCAGTTTTTACATCTTTAATTTTGAGAGGGAAATTTTCTAAAATTTTGGGGGGGAGATATACTGTATCCTATATATATATATAGTAAAGTTCAGGGGGTAGGTTTAACCAGCTCAACCATAAAATAAACAGAAACAAACTTTATTTTTTTCTAAAAGGCAAACAAAATAATGCTTCCAGCAACAGATCTATTGCTTCACTTCAATACAACAACAAAATAAAATCAGCTTGTCTTCAGCACAAATTAGATAACATCCTACCATCTCAGGGCTTTTAAAGAATAAGTTCACCTTTGGGAATATGTTACATGTTCCTCCCTTTTATTAGGGGGGGAACATGTATCATATTCCCAATGCTGCAGCTGCTGCCTGCTGCCCACTGCCCCCCCCACCTCATGACAGAAATACAGCGAGAAGTTCCCTGTACAAGCTATCACTTTTTAAAACAGCTCGGCCAAGTGGGGCTCCGCATACACAGCCGTGTTATTCATTCGTAGTGTTCTGTGAATGAAAGAACTACATGTCCCAATAGCCTTAACGGCTGTGGTAGTTCATTGACCCTTCCTGTTGGTATATCTGCTTGCACTTACATCCCATATGGGCAAGCAGATATACTGAAAGGTCTGCAGGAGACCTGCATGGTGCCAGCGATCTACTGATCACTAGTGCAATGTTTTACAGGCTCCCGCAACCAAAAATAATTGTAGTGCTACCCCCTTACATCTGCTGACATCTTTAAGGCCATTAACATGTATGCTTCCATGTTTTTATGTACGTTAACTTTTAGTGAGTAATAAAGAGTATGTAGCACTACCCCTGCAAGGGCTACTGAATTTAACTGGTTCTTTCCCAAACAGTACAGAAGCCAACAGTCATCCAAGCAACAGTCCATTCAGTTCCAGTAAATAGTCTAGGGGTTGTCTTTTTAGGCTTTATTGCTAATAAACTTGAGCAGAAGGAGGGGTGCAGGATGGTATGAGATACTCCAAAACACTGAGTAGTAACAGGAGGACACACTGCACTACGCTATGCCTCTCTGAACAGTCTTTATGCTAAGGACAAAGGGGAATGGCCAAAACAGAGACCTGAAGGAGCTGTCTTAGTGAGAGCTACCACTGGCACGTATCAACAAAAAAACAGGACACCATCACCAGGATCTTCAGCTCAGGTCAGCACAGACAATGTTGCAGGACAGCTGAACATTTCCCAGTTTCCACCACATACAGTTGCAAGAAAAACTATGTGAACCCCTTGGGATTACGTGGAGTGTTGCATGAATTGGGCATAAAATGTGCTCTGAACGTCATCTAAGTCACAACAATAGAAGAACACAGTCTGCTGAACATAATACTACACAAACATTAGATGTTGCCATGGTTTAATTGCACATAACATGTAAACATTCACAGTGCAGGGAGGAAAAAGTATGTGAGGCCCTAGCTTAATGACTTCTCCCAGAGCTAATTGGAACCAGGAATGAGCCAACCTTGACTCCAATCAGTGTGATGATATTGGATGTGTTGCTGACAGCTGTCCTACCCTTAAAAAACACACACCTGTTTTGGGTTTACTGGTTTCAAGAAGCACTGTCTGATGTGAACCATGCCTCGCAGAAAAGAGCTCTCAGAAGACCTACGATCAAGAATTGTTGACTTACATGAAGCTGGAAAGGGTTACAAAAGAATCTCCAAAAGCCTTGATGTTCGTGTGTCCATGGTAAGACAGACTGTCTACAAATGGAGAAAGTTTAGCACTGTTGCTACTCTCCCTAGGCGTGGTCGTCCTGTAAAAATGACTGCAAGAGCACAGCGCAGAATGTTGCATGAGGTAAAGAAGAATCCCAGAGTGTCAGCTAAAGACCTACAGAAATCTCTGGCACATGCTAACATTTTTGTTGACATCTACAATAAGGAAAACATTAAGCAAGAATGGAGTACATGGCAGGACACCACGGAGGAAGCCATTGCTGTCCAAAAAGAATATTGCAGCACGTTTGAAGTTTGCAAAAGAGCACCTGGATGTTCCACAGCACTACTGGCAAAATATACTGTGGATAGATGAAACCAAGATTGAGTTGTTTTGGAAGAACACACAACACTATGTGTGGAGAAAAAAAGGCACAGCACACCATCAAAACCTCATCCCCACTATAAAACATGGCGGAGGGAGCATCATGGTTTGGGGCTGCTTTGCTGCCTCAGGGCCTGGACGGATTGTTGTCATTGATGGGAAAATGAATTCCAGAGTTTATCAAGACATTTTGCAGGAAAACGTACGACCATCTGTCTGCCAACTGAAGCTCCGCAGAGGATGGGTGATGCAACAGGACAATGACCCAATGCATACAAGTAATTCAACAAAACAATGGCTGCAACAGAACAGAATACGCCTTCCGGAGTGGCCCAGTCAGAGTCCTGACCTCAACCCGATTGAAATGCTGTGGCATGACCTTAAGAGAGCGATTCACACCAGACATCCCAAGAATATTGCTACACTGAAACAGTTTTGTGAAGAGGAGTGGTCCAAAATTACTCCAGATCGTTGTGCAGGTCTGATCTGCAACTACAGGAAACGTTTGGTTAAGGTTATTGCTGCCAAAGGAGGGTCAACCAGTTATTAAGTCCAAAGGTTCACATACTTTTTCCTCCCTGCACTGTGAATGTTTACATATTATGTGCAATTAAACCATGGCAACATCTGTTTGTGTAGTATTATGTTCAGCAGACTGTGTTCTTCTATTGTTGTGACTTAGATGACGTTCAGAGCACATTTTATGCCCAATTCATGCAAAACTCCACGTAATCCCAATGGGTTCACATACTTTTTCTTGCAACTGTATCTCTATGTCATAGGACAACTATCATAGTTCCTTTTGCCAGGCTCCTTTTAGCTGCAGAGTAGTGTAGTTCCCTCCTGGGTAGGTTGCTAGGATGATAGAGCAGCTATTGATTCTTTTGGGCTATTCTAGATTTCACAGGCTGCAGGTTTGATTTCATTCTGGAGGCTGAGAAAGGCAAATGGACAGCTTGAATATTTAGTGTGCTTCAGCCAATCCCTCAGAAGGTGTGCCCAGTAGTTGGCTGGGGTCTGGAGAAGCCCTTGTTCTTGTCCTGCTGGAAAAGTTCCACAGCCTCAGGGGCTCTGCCCCTCTGAGGGAGTTTTTGCTGCAGTTTGCTGTTGTTCCTCAAGGTCCCAGCTGTGGCAGAGGTGGGGGTCTAATCCTAATCATCTTTTGAGCTATCTAAGCAGTCTCATCTAAGGATCTGGTCTGGAGGACTCACTGAAGAGTTCTGGGTGGAAGCTGTAAAGTGTGTAGCTATCCTGTGGCATAGTGAGTAATAACCCCTCCCTCACTGAAGAGTTGGAATCTAGGAAATGAGCAGTTATCCTGGGACAGATGTCTTCAGGATACTGTATGTTGTGATAATCAGGGGTGGACTGACAACTCATGGGGCCCCTGGGCAATAGGGGATCATGGGGCCCCTGTGTCCTCGCCCAAACTCAAAAAAGCCTATGAAAAAGGTACCAGGGGCATCTCATGGGGCTCCCTACTGACCCCGGGCCCTTGGGCAGTGCCCGAGTTTTCAAATGGTCAGTCAGCCCCTGGTGGTAATAGACCTGAGCACAAGATTCAAGTGACTGTATGCTATTTTGAAGGATAAGTGCCAACGGTAGCTCTTCTGAGACAGCTCGTACCATTCCTTTTCACCCTTGGTAGAAAGACTGTTCCTATACCACCTCAACTCCTCTCCTGTTACAAGTTCTACAAACAATAAACCTTAAAAAGACATCCCCTAGACTGTTTACTAGAGGCAGGTTGAATAGACTGTTTTGGGAAGAACCTGTTAAATCCAGTGGTTCCTGTGAGGGTAGTGCTACAATAGCAACTCGCTTCCAGCTTCCACCAAACACTCTTCGGTGAGGGATAGGTTAATACTCACAATGCCAGAGGACAGCTAGTGTCACGTACTTGGTTGGGTAGCCTGACGTGGAGAGGAGGCGTCCTCTTACTACTCTCACTCGGAGCCCCTGATAGTGGGGACAGAGGGAGCCGTGCCAGAAATGTGCCGGGTGGGTCTGGAGATGCTGGTAGGAAGGTGAGGACCCAGAAGATCCAGATGCAGGCCAGGTGCGGATGCAGGAACGTGGGTGCAGCAGCAGGCAGTTATGGCGGCAACCAGGATACAGACCAGGAGCGGACACAGGAGTATAGGTGCGGCAGCAGGCAGATATGGCGGCAACCAGGATGCAGACCAGATGTGAATGCAGGAGCATAGGTGCAGCAGCGGATAGGTATGGCAGTAACCAGGGTGCAGGCCAGGTGCAGGAATGTAGGTGAAGCAGCAGGTAAGTATGGCGGCAACCAGGATACAGGCCAGGTAAAGATACAGGTATGTATGTGCAGCAGTGTCAGACAAGCCAGGTCAGGATCAATCGAGCGGATCAGGTACAAGGGAGCAGGCAAGTGGATAGTCAGGGATAAGCTGGGTCGGTGCAGGCAGAGTTCTTTCTTAGTTAGGGTCAGATCAGATATAGGGAACAGAATCAGGTTATGGAGTGCAGGATGTTATAGATCAGAAGGCATAGGTTAAACTGTGTTGGTAGTGTAAAAAGCCCGCCTTGCGGTGACGTGTATTCTAGTGCGCATGCGCGCTCCCGTGCATGCGCATTTCCACGCTCCCGCAGATGTGCACTCACTCCGCCGCGGCTGATAAGGATCTGGCGCACAGCTATGTGACAGCGAGGGAGCGATCCCTGACAGTGCCCCATCTCTAAGGGCAGCCTCTAGATGCCCAACTGGGCCATCTTCTCTGGATGCCTGCGCTTAAATGCAAAGATTAAGTCTCTAGCGTGGATGTTAGATTCCGGTTCCCATGAATTGTCTTCAGGTCCATAACCTTTCCATTTAATTAAAAATTGGAGCTGGTTCCTCCTTTTCCTACAGTCAATAATTGTTTCTACCTTATATTCCTCTTCGCCGTTGATGATCACTGGCCCAGGTGGCCCCAATTCCCAACCTGAAAAGGGGTTAGAGACTGAAGTTTTGAGCAATGATACGTGAAATACGGGGTGGATCCTTAGTGATCCTGGTAATGTAAGCTCGTATGCCACATCGTTAATCCTCCTTTTTACTGGGAAAGGCCCCTCGAACTTGGGACCTAGCTTCTTTGAAGGACAGGTCAACCTTAGATTGGCTGTTGACAAGCATACCTCTTCACCAGGTTCCAGGACCAGGTCCCCCTTCCTTTTTATGTCAAAGAATTTCTTGTTGTCTAACTGAGCCTTTGTGATTGTCTCCTGTACTATATTGTTATTCTGCTGAAGGAATTCAAAAGTATCTTGGACCACTGGGATTGATGATTCAGGCACTAAATTGGATAGGAATGCAGGATGAAATCTATAGTTAGAGAAAAATGGAGACTGTTTTGTGGCCGAATGTTTTGAATTATTATACGCAAACTTGGCCAAGGGTAAAAGTGATACCCAGTCATCTTGGGAGAATGACGTAAAACAGCGAATGTATTGCTCCAAGGTATGGTTGGTTCTTTCCATTTGACTGTTGTTCTGAGAGTGATAAGCGGAACAGAGTGAGAGTCCCACTTTCAACTTCTCGCAGAGTGCATTCCAGAACTTCGAAGTGAATTGTACCCCTCAATCTGAGACGGTGTTCCCTGGGACACCATGGAGCCTCACCACCTCTCTTATGAAGATTTGGGCCGTTTCTGCTGCAGACGGTACTCCCTTCATGGCAATAAAATGGGCCATTTTAGAAGAACGATGTGACAAAAATGGGCGAACATCCCTCTGATGGTGGCAGTTCTACAACAAAGTCCATTGATATCATTCTCCACGGACGATCAGGGACTGGTAGGGGCTTCAATAATTCCCAGGTCTTGCTTATGTTACCCTTGTTCCATATACATGTGGGGCAGGAATATACATAAGCCTTGCAGTCCTTCTTCCACTCAGGCCACCAGAACAGGCGCTGCACTAGGTCTAAGGTCTTGTGGACCTCGAAATGTCCTGCCAGCGGATGGTCATGACAAAGTCCTAAAATTGCCAATCGGGTAGTTTCTGGTGCAAAGATCTTGTCTCCTGACCAAAGTAACCCTTCTCTAGAGGATAGAGTTATTCCTGGTGGAGAAGGAGCCCCCAAAGATGCCTGCTGGGTTTGCGAAAAAAGGTCTGGTTGCAAAAGACAGAAGTTGCCTGTTGAGAGCACTGTATCAGGGGTAGGAGGATCCTTAGGATCATCGAACATCCTAGACAGGGCATCGGGTTTGATATTCTTAGAGCCTGGTCTATAGGTAATGTGGAATATGAACCTTGAGAAAAAAAGTGCCCACCTGGCTTGTCGGGGTTCTAGACGTTTCGCAGTCTTCAGGTACTCCAGATTCTTGTGATCAGTATAGATCAGAATGTGGTGTACTGCTCCCTCCAAAAGGTACCTCCATTCCTCCAAGACTGACTTGAGGCCAGTAATTCTTGGTCACCTACATCGTAGTTTCTCTCCGCAAGAGATAGCTTACGGGAAAAGAAAGCAACAGGATGAAGCAAGAGTTTCAGGCCTTGCCACTGTGATATGACGGCCCCAACAGCACTCTCCGAGGCATCTACCTCTACCAGAAAGGGTAGTGCTGGATCCGGATGGCCTAATATGGGTGCTGAGCTAAAAAGTCCTTTTAATGCGTCAAAAGGGTCTTGGGCTTCTGGTGTTCAACAGAATTGGACTCCCTGTTTGGTCAGTTGGTTGATAGGAGTGATGATAGCTGAGAATCCTTTGATGAATATCCTGTAAAAGTTTGCGAAACCTATGAAACGTTGTATTCCTTTTTTATCAGATGGTGCAGGCCATTCCAGGATGGCGGAGACTTTCTGGGAATCCATTTTGAAGCCTTCAGTGGATATAATCAATCCTAAGAATTGAATGCTCTGGCGTTCAAACTCACACTTTTCCGGTTTTGTGTAAAGTCCGTGTAGTCTGAGGCGACTGAGGACTGTCTGCACATGTCCCCGATGGAGTTCGATGGATGCGGAAAAGATCAAAATGTCATCAAGGTACATGATCACAAAAATATCTAAAAAGTCTCTGAAAATGTCATTTACCAGGTGCTGAAAAGGGCATCACACAGTCTGAAGGGCATAACCAGGTACTCAAAGTGCCCAAACCTGGTACGGAAGCCCGTTTTCCACTCATCTCCTTCCCAGATTCTTACGAGATTGTATGCCCCTCTCAAATCCAGCTTGGTAAATATGGTTGCGGATCTGAGCCTCTGGAATAGTTCTGGGGCTAATGGCAGAGGATATCTGTTCTTAACCGTAATGTTATTTAACTCGCGGTAGTCCACGCATGGACAGAGGGAATGATCTTTCTTCTCTACAAAGAAGATACCTGCACCTGCTGGTGAGGTAGAGGGGTGGATGAATCCCTTTTTGAGATTATCCTCAATGTAGTCTTTCAGTGCTTCCAACTCACGCTCTGACAGTGGAAAGATCTGACCGAAGGGAATCTCGGCCCCAGGTAGAAGTTCAATCAGGCAGTCGTAAGGCCTGTGAGGTGGAAGGCTGTCTGCACCATGTTTACTGAAGACGTCCAGGAAGTTATGGTAGGCTGCAGGAACGATTTGGCTTACTTCAGCATCATTGCCCATACAAAGTAAGGGCAGGGGTTGAGCAGGACTTTGGGGCAAGCAGTGCTCATGGCAGAAGGCCGATTGAAAGTCCACTTCACCAGATACCCAGTTTACACTGGGGTTGTGGGTCTGTAACCATGGGATCCCCAAGATGATTGGAAATAGTGGTCATGCAATAACATCCAGGCAAAGTAGTTCCTTGTGGCCAGATGGAGATACTACCACAGGTAGTGGGATAGCCTCCTGTGTGACTGCCCCAGACTTAATGTTGGATCTGTTGGCCAAGTATACGGTCAGTCTCTGAGTTTTGGCCTTTAAGGGTATCTGGTGTAGCAGGGTGAAAGTTGATTCGATAAAACAACTGCAGGCCCCGGAATCAATGATAGCGGGCACTGGCAGGGTTCTTCCCGGAAGCTGGAATGAAATGGAAATGGTAAGGTGAGCAAGGTTGATGGTTGCAGTTGATAGTTTAGCAGGAAGGGTGGTCAGAGACTTGCTTAGCTTTGCAGGACAGTTTCGTACGTAATGGCCAGGTTCTCCGCAATAGAGGCATAGGTTACCCTGTCGGCGGCATTGTCGTTCCTCCGGGGTGAGTGAGGTTTGTAGCAACCCTATTTGCATGGGTTCGTATTCTTTGGTACTGGGTGTAGCAGAACTGGTTGGTACCATGTTCGCTGGAGGTGGTACCCTGGGTAGCATCCACATAGGGCAAATTTGGCTGGCGGACCTTTCCAGCCTTTGTTCCCAAATCAGCGGTCAATTTGGATAGCCAAGTTAATGAGCTCTTCCAACGTGTTTGGGACCTCGACTCAGGCTAGCTCATCTTTAAGGGGAACTGATATCGTAGGGCAGCGTTGTCCCAATTGGTATCGACACTCCAGCGCCTAAACTCTGTTACATAGTCCTCAGCTGCCCTTCGACCCTGCTGAAGAGAGTGGAGTGCTGTTTCTGCTGATGATGATCACTGTGGATCATCGTAGAGCTGAGCCATAGCCTCAAAGAAGCGATTTTAAGGAAGTTAACTTGGTGTCTTCCTTTTCCAGCAGATGGTGGGCCCATGCCTGTGGTTCGCCATGGA